CTGGCTTTTTGGTGGTTAATTGGAGAGAAGGGTCTCAAGGACTTTTCTGTTGGGGATGGCTTTGAACTGAGATCCTCAGATCTCAGCCTCTTGAATAGCTAGGAATAAGTGGCTCTGGGCATTCTTTTCTTTTCTTTGTTTTTTATTGTTGTTGTTGTTCTTTTTTTTGTTGGTCGTGGGGCTTGAACTCTGGGCCTGAGCGCTGTCCCTCAGCTCTTCAGCTCAAGGCTAGCGCTCTACCACTTGAGTGCCATTTCCAGGTTTCTGGTGGTTTATTGGAGATAAGAGTTTCACTGACTTTCTTGCCCAGGCTGGCTTTGAACCGTGATCCTCAGATCTCAGCCTCCTGAGTAGCTAGGATTAAGCGTGAGCTACTGGCGCCCGGTTTTGGGCATTATTTTCTTAACTTTTTTTTTTTTTTTTTTTTTTACCAGTCCTGGGGTTTGAACTCAGGGCCCGGGCATGGTCACTGACCTTCTATTGCTCAAGGCTAGTGCTCTACCACTTGAGTCACATGTCACTTCTGGCATTTTCTATGTGGTACTGAGGAATCGAACCCAGGGCTTCATGCATGCTAGGCAAGCACTCTACCACTAAGCCACATTCCCAGCCCTATTTAAATTTTTTTTCTGAGATAAGGTCTTGCTATACAGTCTAGTTATATTTAAATAGAAGTGTGCTACTATCTGTAGGTGGGATGCTTGATTAAAAAGCAGAAACTGGGCTGGGAAGGTGGTTTAGTGGTAGAGCGCTTGCCTCACATGCATGAGGCCCTGGGTTTGATTCCTCAGCACCACATAAACATAAAAAGTCAGAAGTGGTGCTGTGGCTCAAGTGATAGTGTGTTATCCTTGAGCTGAAGAGCTGAAGGACAATGCTCAGGCCCAGAGTTCAAGCCCCATGACTGGCAAAACAAACAAACAAACAGAAACCTAGATTTAAAAAATAGGATACTATAAAGTGTTTTATTGGGGCTTGGAAGGTGGCTCAGTGGTAGAATGCTTGCCTCTTCATTCATGAGGCCCTGGGTTCAATTCCTCAACACCACATAAACAGAAAAGGCCAGAAGTGGGGCTATAGTTCAAGTGGTAGAGCGCTAGCCTTGAGCTGAAGAGCTGAGGGACAGCACCCAGGCCCAGAATTCAGGCCCCACCAACTGACAAAAAAAAAAAAAAAGTGTTTTATTAGGGGGCTGGGAAGGTGGCTCAGTGATAGAGTGCTTGCCTTGATGCCTGAGGCCCTGGGTTCGATTCCTCAGCACCACATAAACAGAAAAAGCTGGAAATGGTGCTGTGGCTCAAGTAGTAGAGTGCTAGCCTTGTGCTGAAGAGCTGAGGGACAATGCCCAGGCCCAGAGTTCAGGCCCCATGACCGACCAAAACAAAACAAAATGTTTTATTAGGGTATGTGAAGCATTTTGAACACAGATACTTTTGTAGATAATATTCTAGTATCAATTATACATTTCTTGTGCATAACAATATTTTCATCATGATTTTATGGAAGGAGAATATCTTTGTTTACAATGAATAGGACATAGTGGTACAAGCCTATAATTCTAGCACTTGAAAGGCAGAGAGAGAAAGATTGCAAGTTTGAGACCAGCCTGAGGTATATAACATGAACCTGTCTCAAAAACAAAAGAAAAAAACAAGTATTATGTGTGCATACTAAATGATAAAGACTATTAATAAACAACAATTAGATAAGAAACATTCATATAGTGCTACAAATTTTTATGCATCAATAAACTATCAAGCTGCTGATTAAAAAAATTGTTTTTGCAGTGCTGGGGTAATCCCAGGTCTTTTTGCATATTAGATGAACACTACCACTGAGCTATGTCATTTGCCCTAAATTCTGTTTTATTTATTTATTTACTTATTTATTTATTGTATTGGGTTGAATTCAGGGCCTCAGGCTTGCTAGATGGATGTCCTACCACTTGAGCCATACTAGCAGTTCAGTTCTCTTCTCTTTTCCTCTCCTCTCCTTTCTTCTTCCTCTCCTCTTTTTTCTCTTCTTTCTTCTTTTTTTTTTGTTGTTGGTCTTAGGGCCTGAATTCTGGGCCTGGGCGCTGTCCCTCAGCTCTTCAGCTATAGCCTAGTACTCTACCACTTGAGCCTCAGCCCCACTTCCGGCTTTTTCTGCTTATGTGGTGCTGAGGAATCGAATAGAGGGCCTCATGCAAGCAAGGGAAGCACTCTACCACTGAGCAACCTTCCCAGTCCCTTCTCTTCTTTCTTCTTTCTCCCTCCCCTCCCTTCCCTTCCCGCCCCCCCCCCCCAGCTTGTCTGTCTTAAACTCAGGGCCTGGGTACTGTCCCTAAGCTTTTCTGCTCAAGGCTAGTGCTCTACCACTTTGAGCCACTGGAGATAAGAGTCTCAAAGACTTTCCTACCTGGGCTGGCTTGGAACTGTGATTCCCAGATCTCAGCCTCCTGATAGCTAGGATTACAGGTGTGAGCACCAGTGCCCCACTAAACTCTTTTTCTTTTAGTTTGGAAAAGTTGTCATGTAGCACCCCTATTCTCAACTGCATTCCTTGAACCTCCTACCTCTTCTGGCTTACAGGCATGAATCACCACATTACCTTGTTTGTTGAGATAGGTTGAGATAGAACTTTCTTCTTTCTGATCTCTGTCAGCTGAATAGTTCAGATTTCAGGCATGTATAACACTGCACCCTGGCCCCCAAGTTGCTGTGTAGCAACTTTAAGATAATGTAAGAATGTCAAGATGAAACAATAGATGAATCTTGAATAAGATTTGGTATTTTCTATAGAAAATAACACAGCCAGCATGGAACATTCTCTCCCTCTCTCCAACTCCCCCCTCCCTTCCCCCTTGCCCCCATTGGTCTGGGGCTTAAACTATGGGCTTCACCTGCTTGCTGTTGACTGGCACTGTACCAGTAGGACTGCAGCTTGCTTTCCTTCTCTTCTCTTCCCTTCCCTTCCCCCCCCTCCTTCCCTTCCCCCCTCCCTCCCTCCCTTCCTCCTTCCTTCCTTTCTTTCTTATAATCCTCCTGTATCAATCAGCCTGTCAAATGCTAGGATTACAAATTTACCTCACCACTCCTAATTTCCATTATTATTGTTATTATTTAACTCCTTAGTAGCATTTGTAACCTAAAAGGTTAGACCTTGAGGGGCTGGGAAGTTGGCTCAGTGGTAGAGTGCTTGCCTTGCATGCTTGAGGCGCTGGGTTCGATTCCTCAGCACCACATAAGCAAAAAGAAAAACGCCGGAAGTGGCACTGTGGCTCAAGTAGTAGAGTTCTAGCCTTGAGCTGAAGAGCTGAGGGACAGCACTCAGGCCCAGAGTTCAGGCCCACGACTGGACCCAAAAAAAAAAAAAAAAAGGTTAGACCTTGACTGCTTCCTCCTAAGAGACTTTGGAAAATAAAAGGCTACTCTTTGACTTCTTCCTCCTGAGACTTTGGGAAATCCTCATAACATCCACTGATAATCCTAAAGAAAACACCTAAAGTAGGTGTTAACTGCTGATTAAGTTCACCCCACAACCACTTGCTTTTACCCTAACACTCAAATGCAACTAAACAGTTGGTCCTTGTGGTTTTGGCTTAGCATTTCCTCTGATTTCTTAGTTTCTGGGCTATTTTTAGGCAGTTTTGAATGAGACAGAATCTTTTTTCTGAAAATGGCCTCACCTTGAACCTGGATTTGAACTAGCCTGAGGGCAAGATCCACTTTGTTATCTTGGTGTTGGTGTTAATTTTTGTCACAGTTCTTGGCATGCATTTTTTTTTTTTGGTATAAAAATAGTATTTAGAGCCAAATATCTTCTGTAACCTACAAAAAAATTTCCAGTACAGCAGGAAATGTTTTGAGTGTTCCTGATGCTATCTTGCTTCTTGAGTAGGGTTGTTTTAAAATTCAATGTTTTAAATATATTGTCTTTTTATTTTTAGCCAGCGGCCTGTAAACTCTCTGAGCTTAAGGAGCCATATAGTTCATTGAAGCAGGAAGAACTGTGTTGTTCCGGATTTCAAAACATCAACAGGCCAATTAAAAGCAGTCTCTTATCAATTATTATTAAAGACTAATTTAGACCGGAATTAAAACCTGTCCAGTCCCAAAGTAGAGCTGGGTGATCAGCCCCCTCCATAAACACCCATTTACATTCCGGCCTCACAAAGAAAACGGCCGATCCTTAGCCTTTATCCACTTGCCAGGTTGATAATGATGTTAAGCTGGCATTCCTCGCAGCTGCTGCGTGAAAATCACTCGCCTTGTTTTGCTGCGAGAGCAGACAAGGAGCACATGAGAATGAAGTTGCCAGTGCAGGGCCATCGGTCAATGACACCGGTGTTACCCCCACCCCCCCGCCCGGACCCCGCGCCCTCGCCCCGCAAACTGGAGATTCGGAGACCTGCCGGGCCCGACATGATGGACTTATTCTCCCCAGCAGAGGAGGTTCACGCACTGGAAATCTGACATATGTGCATGGTTGGGGTAAACGTCAGGCCGTTCTTCACGGTCTGCGCAAACCATGGACCGCCGCCCCGCAGCGAGCCTCAAGCGAGGCCCCCACCCCGCGGTGC